CTTGCACGTCTTATGGAGGGACTCGGCCTCCGGAAGCGTGATCTTGCCCTCGCGACGTGTCGGGAGGGGGGAGGGGAAGGAGAGGGCGAGGGGGGGGCACGGGCCACGCATTGCCGCTGGATCCGCCTAATGTCCTCGACCCCTCCCCCCCAACCCAGGGAGGAGGGCGAAGGGAGAAACGAGGAGAAGGAGGGAGGCAGGGAGGCAGGGAGAAGCGAGGAGGAGGGCGGGACGAGGGCGGCGAGGGAACAGGAAGAGCAGGAGGGCTTGGGGGAACACCAGAACTCCTGCAGAGGGCAGCACACCCGAATGTTGACAGGGGTTCGGCGATGGGATCCAGGCACCCCCTTTAATCCCCTGCCCACACACCCCCTGCCCCCTCCCAGGCAGTCACCTATTCCCCAGCTCGTTGGCCTATGCCCCAGCTGATCGGACTATCCCCCGGGTGATTCGGGGGCAGTGGGAGAGGAGAGCGCCGAACGATTCTCTTGTCCAGTGGCGCTGCCGCGCGACTCCGCCACCGCGCTCCGGCGGGCGCCTGCCGGGGGGTCCACTGAAGGTCCCTGCCCAAAACTCATATCTGGGCACATGTTCTACCTGGAAGGCCAAAAAATCGCAGGGACGCGGTCGTACAAGCGAACGCACCTCAGGCTCGGTGCGTCGGGGGGCCCCGACTATGGCTTCGCACAGAGCGAGAGAGGGCCCGACACACACCTGCCGCTGCAAGCGCGGTGGCGGATCTGAAGCTGAAGCGCCTGGGCGTAGAACCTCTGACATGCCAGTGCGCTGCCCTCATGGAGCCCGCACAAATTTCCAGAAAACCCACCACCCGGGAATAATCCAAGTGTGGCTGATGCTCGTTGTAAAACGCCACGAACACCAACCGCACTTTCGGGAGCGGCCAAGAGGGGGGTGTCCAAGAGGGGGGGTGCAAATCATGACCGGCGGCATGTGCGCGGCCCAGCGGGGGGGCCTGGGACGTAATGAAATAAGAAGAGGCGCCATGAAATCTGAGGAAATATCATGGCCCACGCCATGATATCCACCCCCCCTAGTCATCACCCCCCTCTTTTCCGCCCCCGACGGTAGAACGGTTGCACCAGAACCGGAACTCGACTGCGAAACCGAACAGATCGATCCGACCGCACAGTCGGTCGAATGGAACCGATCGAACCGAGGACCGAAAAGGACGACGAGCGGACCGAGCCGACTGCAAACGGACTGCGAGGCGAGGCTCAAGATCCCCTCCTCCTCCTCCTCCTCCTCCTCCTCCTCCTCCTCCTCCTCCTCCTCCTCCTCCTCCTCCTCCTCCTCCGCCTCCATTCCCTATACAGAATAACTCCTCCCTGTCGCACCCCGAGGCAGGTCGAAGAACGGGCCGGGCGTCTCGCCCGAGGCGGCCTCACCATGTATGGCCCTACGGCCGATGAGTTGCAACAGCTTCGCGGACGCAGGGCGGGTCGCTCTCAAAAAATGTGGCTCTCGCCTTTGCGCCGCGCACATCGGACTTAAAATGTGCCACGAACCTACGGGGAAAAAAACTCACACACATACACCCACACACATACAAAACACACACAGTGTGTGTGTTTTCCCCCACAGACATTTGTCCCAACACACAGTGTGTTTGTTTCCCACAGTGTGTGTGTGTGTGTGTGTGTTGTTTTTCCCATGTGTGTGTTTGTGTGTGTGTTTTCCCAAAGTGTGTGTGTGTGTGTGCGTGTGTGTGTGTGCGTGTGTGTGCGTGTGTGTGTGTGTGTGTGTGTGTTGGTGTGTGTGTGTTGGCGTGTGTGTGTGTGTGTGTGCGTGTGTGTGTGGTTGTGTGTGTGGTTTTCCCCACGTGTGTGGTTTTTGTCCCCACCGTGGGTATTTTTCCCACGGATTGAGGACAGGTGGTTTTCCAAATGTGGCTCTCGCCTTAGCGCCGCGCACATCCGTCATAAAAAAAATCGCATGGGCTTCACGGATGGAAGGCGGGTCATTTTCAACATGTGGCTCTCGCCATAGCACCGCGCACATTCGTTTTAAGACTTTACAACAGGTTCACGGGTTCTCATGGTTATCGTGGCGGAAATGGTGTTTTGGCACGATGTCGGACTGCCAGGGCGCATCAGCAATGTGGGTTCGCGGAGTTAAAGTATCAGGAATGGTGTTCTGGCACGATTCAGGATCGTCAAGACGCAACAGTAATGGTAATTCGCAGTGTGTAAGTTCCAGGAATGGTGTTCTGGCGCAGTTGAAGATTTTCAAACGTTTGTCGTCCAACGGGTCCCTTCCTTCAGTGATAGTGAATCCTTGTAGGAGCCTATGAATAGGGAGCTTGGAGGGATGGTTTATTGCATCATCGTTGATGAGTCTTGGGTTCACACTGGTCCTTCTCCTCCTCCTCCTCCTCCTCCTCCTCCTCCTCCTCCTCCTCCTCCTCCTCCTCCTCATGATCATCATCCTCCTCATCCTCCTCATACACCTCATCCTCATCCTCCTCCGCCACGTGCTCCTCCTGGGCGCCCTCCTCATCATCATCCTCCATTCCTCCTCATGTTTCTTTTCCTCTTCCATCCCTCCCTCCTCCCTCATCCTTCTCCCTCATCCCTCCACCGGGGAGCCATAAGAGCACCGCCACGTCAGGTGAGAGAAGACCAGGGCATATGCTCAGAGCCGCAGCTCAGAAACTCCCAGCTGTTGACGCTTCAACCTTCCCCCAAGGTGAAACGTTTGCGACGAACGCTCTCAGTCCAGCCCACAGAGCCCGCGACGCGAGCACTGAAACCATCCTCATCCTCCTCATCCTGCTCCCCATCCTCCTCCACACCCTCCTCCCTCCTCCCTTCTCATCCTCATCCTCGTCCTCCTCCTCTTCCTCCTCCTTATCCAGTTCACCATCCTCATCCCCATCCTCCTCCTCCTTCTGCTACTCCTGCTCCTCCTCATCCTCGTCTTCATCCTTCTCATCATCAACCTATTCATCCTCCTCCTCCCCATCATCATCAGAATAATCCTCCTCGACGACAACAAAAAAAAACAAAAGCAGCAGCAGCAACAACTGCAACAACCACGACAACAACAACAACAACAACAACAACAATTACTAGCACGTGGGGACACTCCGTTCTCACCAGTGCCAGGGTTTTCATAGGAGGCGGGCAATACCCCCACTTTGTGGGGGGGCCGGTTCAAGCTCTACCAAATTTCCAAACGACTCTTCGCCACCACCCACACCCAGCTTCCCGCCCTATGACGTTCGGACACTTCACTTCGTGGCATGCGGACGACCGTGGCTACTATTCAGGGCCCCGCGGCCGACGACGACGGCGTGCGCGCGCGAAGAAAAAACGAATGTGTCCCGCATGGTATTATTTGACAGGGATGATGGCCCTGGCAGGTGCGCAACCGTTGTCGCAGAAGTTCGAAAAAGTTGCTCGCAAAAGCCCGTTTGACAGAAATGTTTAAAAAGTGTTGGGTTTCCTACGAATCCGCAAGAGCGCGCGGGATGAGATTTTGACAATTTTTTGTTTGAAAAACCATTGGTTTTTTGATGTTTTTATGTTAAAATCGCTGCGAACACTAAGGTTTTGGAAGGATTTCGTCTTGCGCGCGCGAATGTCCACTTTACCTTATTTTTTGCAAGGGATTCTTGAAATTTGATTATATTAGAACAAGAAATGTCATTTTCTATTGTTTTTTGCAAGGGAAAGCGGATTACAACAAAACAACCGGATCCTGTACACACCCTCTTTTCTGAGGCTTCCTCACGAAAATGATGAAAATGTAGCTGCGGCCTAGGCGGCGCAGGGGGGGCGCGCACCAGGGGGCCCAACAATAATTATTCTTTAGAATAAATAATGTTCAACAACAACAACAACAACAATTACTAGCACGTGGGGACACTCCGTTCTCACCAGTGCCAGGGTTTTCATAGGAGGCGGGCAATACCCCCACTTTGTGGGGGGGCCGGTTCAAGCTCTACCAAATTTCCAAACGACTCTTCGCCACCACCCACACCCAGCTTCCCGCCCTATGACGTTCGGACACTTCACTTCGTGGCATGCGGACGACCGTGGCTACTATTCAGGGCCCCGCGGCCGACGACGACGGCGTGCGCGCGCGAAGAAAAAACGAATGTGTCCCGCATGGTATTATTTGACAGGGATGATGGCCCTGGCAGGTGCGCAACCGTTGTTGCAGAAGTTCGAAAAAGTTGCTCGCAAAAGCCCGTTTGACAGAAATGTTTAAAAAGTGTTGGGTTTCCTACGAATCCGCAAGAGCGCGCGGGATGAAATTTTGACATTTTTTTAAATGTAAAAAAAAAAAAAAAACAAAAAAAAAAATGTTAAAATCGCTACGAAAACTAAGGTTTTGGAAGGATTTCGTCTTGCGCGCGCGAATGTCCACTTTACCTTATTTTTTGCAAGGGATTCTTGAAGTTTGGTTATGTTAGAACAAGACATGTCATTTTATATTGGTTTTTGACAGGGAAAGCGGGCGTCAACAAAACAACCGGATCCGGAATCGCCCGTTTTGCCTGAGACTTCCTCACGAAAATGATGAAAATGTGGCTGCGGCCTAGGCGCGGCGAGGGGGGCGTGCACCAGGGGGCCCAACAATAATTATTCTTTAGAAGTAATAACAACAACAACAATTACTAGCACGAGGGGACACACCGTTCTCACCAGTGCCAGGGTTTTCATAGGAGGCGGGCAATACCCCCACTTTGTGGGGGGGCACGTTCAAGCTCTACCAGATTTCCAAACGACTCTTCGCCACCACCCACACCCAGCTTCCCGCCCTATGACGTTCGGACACTTCACTTCGTGGCATGCGGACGACCGTGGCTACTATTCAGGGCCCCGCGGCCGACGACGACGGCGTGCGCGCGCGAAGAAAAAACGAATGTGTCCCGCATGGTATTATTTGACAGGGATGATGGCCCTGGCAGGTGCGCAACCGTTGTTGCAGAAGTTCGAAAAAGTTGCTCGCAAAAGCCCGTTTGACAGAAATGATTAAAAAGTGTTGGGTTTCCTACGAATCCGCAAGAGCGCGCGGGATGA